ATGATACCCTTTTCTGCCAAGCACCTTGTGCTCAGATGGCACCTCTGTGGCTCCCCTTGAGGGAAAGATCACAGGATCGAATCCCGGTGGTGGGGTATTGACTCTCTTTGGACTGCTCTAGTTAGAGAAAGTATAGAACATATACTGCCTTGTAATAGAGTCAATAGCGTTCAAAAAAAAAAATGATACCCTTTCCTTCTTGCCTGTCTTGTTGGTAGCTACTCATCTTTGTTTTCTCTACAACCAACTAATCTTAAGAATGAGAATAATAAAAGGGCTGAATAAACAGATAGAATATTGAGCATTAGCTTGTTTTTGCGCAGCTTGAGCTTCTTGGAAAGTCTCTTTTAGGCCCGAAACTTGTACTTTTTGAAGTCTCCAAAGTCCAAAAACAGGTGCCAAATGGCACTGTTTTACCATGGGCATAAGGATATGGAAATCAAATGCCACAGCCTGAAAAAAATGATTTCAAAGACAATTGCTTGTTTGTTCTAGTGCTTGCTCAATCCCCCGAGGGGCTGAAAAAATTAGCTGCTCTGATCTATTTTGTTATACACTTGTACCATTTCACTGCAGATACTACAGCTTTTATAGCAACATTTTACTTCATCTACTCTCCATTTGCTGCTGGTCATTTGTTGTTGTTGTTGATACTAAGTTTCTCCTTTTGTTGTTTGGGGATAAGTTGATACTGAGCTTCTCCTTGGTTTCTGTGTAACATGTTAGTTTTAGTTTGAGTTAATTCCACCAGATGTCCTTTTGTTTTTGGTGGCAATTCTAAATTTAGTCTCAGACTATTATTTTTGCCATTTAACATCTCATACTATTATTTTTTGGACATTTTTAGTTCTTCTTATGACTTTTCCTATTTTTAGTAAGGGTATTTTTGTCTTTTCATTTTTTTCTTTTGTTATTTTTCTAGTTTCAACCGGTTTAGGACTTTAGGCAACCTCTGGTTCTTAGTAACCATATTTTTCAACCGATTTTTAATAAAGTCCTAAACCGATTTTTCAACCAAGGCATTCCACTTTGGAGTATACATACATCATTTATCATTTGTTGATGATGGAAGCGTCTGATGTGGAATTTGTTAGGTTTAATTTCGTGTTTATTGGTGCATACTTAAATTTGATGCTTGACTGACTTTTGGTCCAAGTCTCTAAGAATAACACTGAGCAATGAATTGTTTGTTTGGTTAAAAATGATGCATGCAAGTCTGGGAACACGTCACTCGGGAATGGGAGAAGTTGGTGATCTACCTATGGTTGCAAATAGACAAAAGTAAATAAAGCAGTAGAACAATAAGTTGAAGAATTCTGGAGTTCTTCCTCTCTTAAAAGTGTCATTAGACAAAACAATTTTCAGATGATTATTCTCAGACCAGCCATGCTCTTAAATGCCTATGGAGGCAACGGTAAAAAGCATGAAGAATAGGAAGCAAAAAACAAATTAACAGCCTAAGTGAAATAGAAAAAAAGAAAAAAAAAACAGATTAATAACTAATTTAATGAATAAATAGCTTATTGAATGGGTCCATGCGTTTGCATCTTGTTCTTGCGTCTGTGATACGTTTTCCCAACGAATGCATCAACACACCCCTCCACCAACACACCCCTCCACGTCAATAAGCTTGAAATTCGGAAAAAGCATTTGGAATTTATCCAAATTCCCAGGAAGCATCATCTAGTGCTACACCTAGCCAATGAACCAAAACTTCCTTAACACCTTTGTTCAGTCGTAGACAACACGGAATGGGGTCGTCTAGAGGGCTGAATGGAAAGAGGTGTTGTAACAGTATTCGGCTTAGGGAAGCCAGTTGATCGACCTTCGCGAGCAGTCACCCACAGGTAGTGCTGCCAATGTCAAATCGCCTGTGAATCTGTGATAACCCAATCAGTTCTTGTTCATACATGGCCAGTTTGTGATGTCGAAAATGCCACCGGTTGGTTATCTTGGTGCAAGACTGCTCCCACGCCCACTCTAGAAGCATAAATAACCGTGCAAAATCTAGATGTTGCAAAACCGGAGCTGTGGTAAGTGCAATTTTGAGCTTTCGGAACGCCACCATAGCTTAGTCCGTCCAGATGAAGTTATGTTTCTGCAGCAATGAAGTCAAGGGGGCGGCTATTACTCCAAAGTCGCGTATAAACTTACGGTAAAAGCCTGCGAGTCCTATGAACTCGCACAGACCCTTTACAGATTGAGGTTGCAGCCAGTCCAAAATAGTCTGAACCTTACAGGAATACATCGAAACCCTGTTGACATCGATGATGTGGCCGAGGTAGCAGAGCTTGTCCACTTCGAACAAACACTTAGATCATTCGAATTTGATAGTACGTACCCGGAATGCAAATCCAGTTTAGTGAAAAAATGCATCCCATGCAACTCATCTAGAAGTTCCTCTATAACAGAAATTTGGAATTTAGCTTTGACGGTTTTGGCGTTCAATTCCCGGTAATTAATACAAAAGTGCCACGAATGATTCTAGTTCAGTGGTGGTGGTGGCTGGGTAATGCGGGCCAGCAAGCACTAGCACAACCTCGAAATGAGGTCGCGGGCCCTCGTGGCTACTGGAACCATCTGTCAGCTTTTTTTCGGCCAAGAGCTGCCGAAACATTGTGAAGCTTATCCTAGTTGCCTTCATCGCATCGATAGTAGTATGAAGGGCCTGGATGGATTCTGTCAGCAATTGATCGCCCATGACGTCAGGCACTGATATCAAATTTGGTGCGTGCCTGAAAGTTTGAGAACGCGTCACTGGATGATGAACGGGCTCGAGGGACGTGTCAGAGGAATGGGGGAAAATGGTGATCTATATATGGTTGCAAATAGACAAAATAGAACAATGAGTTTGAAGAGTTCTGGAGTTCTTCTTCTCCCAAAAGTCATTAGACAAAATAATTTTCAGACAAGCCATGCTCTTAAATACCTATGGAGGAAACGGTAAAAAGCTAGCATAAGAATAGGAAGCAAAAACAGATTAATAACTAATTTAATGAATAAATATAGCTTATTGAATGGGTCCATGTGTGATGTGTTTGTATCATGTTCATGTGTATGTGATACGCCTTCCCAACGAACGCATCAAAATAGTTTGGGACGCATCAAAATAGTATTCTGATTCACCTGAACCAAGTAGGAAGAGTTTCATATCTCAAAGTGAAACAACTAAACTTGTTGATTACCAATTATATAATTTTTGTTGTCTAAATATTATAGTAAATAATTTTGTGGTATCACCCCCTTCTTTATCTTAGGCAAATTATGATGTGGAACCGTGTCCACCTTGACACGGTTCCAAAACTGTTCATAATTTTGAATATAGGGAGTTCAAAAATTATGAACATAGAGTTCTATAATTGTGAATATAGAGTTCAATAATTGTGAATATGAATTTCAAAAATTATGAACATAGAGTCTTATAATTATGAACATAGAGTTCAGTAAGTATGAATATAGAGTTCTGTAATTGTGAATATAGGGTTCAATAATTGTGAATATAAAGTTCAAAAATTATGAACATTGAATTTTATAATTATAAACATAGAGTTAAGTAATTATGAACATAGAACCGTGTCCACCTTGCAAGGTGGACACAGTTCCACGTCATAACACTCCTTTATCTTATTACCCAAACAACTCGTGCACTTTAATTTCTTTTTGGATGACGAGGGAAGCCCTACAATCCTTTCAGGTGTAGGTAAACCTAGTATTGTGACCCTAGTCGGTAAATGACCACAAGGAAGTAAACTAGCCTAGATTACTTATAGCCGACTGGTTCAAATTAAGGAGCAAGGATTTGAACTCGTGACCTTGTGATTACAAGTGCGTTTTTTTATCATCTTGACTAGGGTTACCCTGATGGCTGATACACTTTAATTTCTTGATTTGTGAGAAACTGCAATTTCAATTTGTGGATGGAAGTTGGAATATGATTATTGAGCAACTAAACTCAAAGACATTTGTGGGGACTAGTTCATCAAATGAGCACTGATGTTGCAATTGTTATATCGTACACGGTATTGTGCGTCTTAAAAATCCTCTGTTTCATATGTACATAATTGTAGAGTCTATACACATAAACTCCTAATATAATACACATAATCTTAACATAATACACATAATCTTAACATAATACATAATACACATAAACTCTTAACATAATACTCATAAACTCTTAATATAATACATATAAACTCTTAACATAATACACATACACTCTTAGGGCGCACAATGCATTGTGCACCCTGGTGCACGATATAATTTGTCGTGACCGTGTGAGAGATAACAAATTATTATGTGGACCACGGTCCACACAATGTTGTGTAGATTATAAAAAAAAAATATTTTTAATATATGAAAAATACATTATTTGTGTACTGAATGTACATTATGTACTTTTAGTACATACTTTCAATACGCACTTTCACTAAATACAATGTACACTTTTTAATATACTAAAAGTACATTATTTGTGTACTGAATGTACATTATTTTATAGTAGTATATAAAATAGTGCACTTTCAATACTCGAATAATGTATTTTATGTACACAAATAATGTACTTTTTATTTATGATTCACACAACTGTGTAATCGGTGAGAGTTCAAGCCCAATTTGACTATCAAAGCATAGACGGCAATTTATATCGTGAACCAGGGTCCAAAGTGCAATACACATAATGTACATAATACACATACACAATGTACAAAATTTATGTTCATAATACACACACATAAACATGATATAATGAAGACACATAAATACTTAACATAATACACAGAATTCATAATGTACAAAATTCATATATGTTTGTAATGTACAGAATTCATGTTCATTATATCATGTTTATGTGTATGTGTATTATGAACATAAATTTTGTATATTATAAAATCAAATTATGTGTATTGAATCAGGATCTACAGTGCACTGTGGATCCTGGTTCACGATATAACTATTGAGCATAGACCCTGCAAACTTCTGTCATTGAATGTACAGTCAAGGACAGCAAGTATAGAAATTTGGTAGAGGAGGCCAGGAGGGCGAGTAACAGGAAATGTTCACGAATGGAGTTGTTATGACGTATCACCCACTTTGTCTTAATTTCAATGTATGAGACAAACAACAAAGCCAAATAGGGCGCTCTAATAGTTGGTTTGAAGTTGAGTTTGCACTTAAAGGTGATAAATTAAGATAAAGAGCCACTTGTAGCTAGTTTTGTGGTGTAAATTTAATACCTTAATTAAATTCCTCAACTTTAAAAATCTTAAGCAATTTAGCTGTCAAATGTCTATTTAGTCATTTGATCTTCCGTTTGTATGTATTTATGTTTATGTTTATAAGAAAAAGAAAAGAGAAGCTAATTACAGTAAAGTTTTAACTCATTCTTCCCATATTTATTTTGCATAATTGCATTGTATCTATATATCTCTCTTCCTTTTTATTGGCCATTCTAATGATCCAACTAACAGTGCCTTGTGATTTTGTATGCAGAATTTGTTTTTTAACTTATAATGACTCAACCATGACAGGGTACTTGTTCTTGGGCATTCTCACTAGTGTTGGCTGGACAGAATCATCCCTCTCCAGGGGCCTCCATCTGCAAGATAATAATAATAAGGCAACAAAAAACATCAATTTTTTAATTTGCTGTTTCTTTTATCTATCATTTCATTTCACTGGTTACCTGTATCTGCAAACAAGATGATGAATGAAGACACAGATTTCCAGCTTAGCCAGGTTGATTCCAGGGCACATCCGCGGTCCACTCCCGAATCCAAGGAAGCTGAATGGCTTTGGATTCTCCTGTATTCCATTCAGATATTGTTAGGATTAAGTGCTTATTGTTATGCCAAAAACTATTTTCGAAAGACTGAATGCTGGACTTGGCCTTTTAAGCCTTCCGCCTAACAATTCTCCCTCCCAAAGCTCGCCTCTAATATCACTTGTTATGATAAAAGGCTTACCACTACGACAAAAGCTATATAGTGGAGGCGCATCTTTATTTTCTTATATCGTCACACATTTTCGAGACTACTGGGTGCTGGACTTGACCCTTTAAGCCCTTTATTGGCCTCTGCCCAACAGATATGAAACTTAATTGAATGAGAAATATGAGCTTCCATGCACATTAATCTTACATCAAATCTAGATGGATTGAACTTTTCAGGCTCAGGAAATATCTCCGGGTCGTGATGGATTGACACTACATCCAAGTTTATAGACCACCCTTTCTTGATTTTGCACCCTACATGCAGTATTATATATATAGATGAGATGGAATTTTTGCAACCAATAAGCTAGGTATAGTACAAGCTAAGATTTTAAATGACATCTCATCTCATCTGTACCATCGATCTCGAAATCTTGTGCTGCTTTTCTTGAAAACCAGGGTAGTATTGTGGCCATTCTAAGCGTTTCATTGATGACCTGAAAGTTAATACAAATCAGAATAAGAAGTTTGTTAGGATCAAGCGCATCCCAGTATAACTAGTAGTGAAGATGCAACATTGGGAGTATTGACCTCTGCCTGCTAATAATTTCTCCTTCCCACAACCAACGAGTTTGCTGGTTTTTTAATCTGGCTTTGTTGCTACTTGTTAAGATCAAGCGTTTACCCCTTAATCCCAGTGTGCATAGGCGACAGCCTAGGCGCTAGGCACTCCTAGGCCGACACGATTTCCACACTAGGCGGCTTTTAGTCAGTTAACCAACTAACTGGCCGACTTGGCTGAATTGAGAGCCTAACTCTGCCGAATCAAGTGCCTAACTCACCAAGTCGGTGCCCAACTAGGTCGAGTGGTTTTTTTTGCCTGCTCGGCTACTTCTCTTTTATATTTCTCCAGCCATCTACTCAATTAACCATATAACATATACAGTTGACTAGTTGGGGATTATAACAGTCTAACCACTCCTAGTCTTGAGCCGGAAAAGTTGAGACGATATACTCGAATTACTCGGCCGCCCGCTTAGCGCCTAGCGCATTCTGCAATATTGTTTATGCCAAAAACTATAGCTAGTAGCGAAAGCGTAACTATATTTTCTTATAAACCGCCACACATTTTCGAGACGTTGGGTGCTGGACTTGGCCTTTACCTATACCAACCTCCGCCTAACAATTCCACAACCACCAGATGCTAGCCTTGGCCTTTACCAGTATACTATCTAGTATAGGAAAGTAACAATGATAAAACCAGTAGATGAGATTTACATAATTGAAATAAGAAAACAGTTGATGAAGTTCCCAAATACTACCTTGAGGGTATATGGCATGTTGTTAACTTCAGCCCAGGTTAAAGTTGTTGATGTGCCATCTCTGCTAGCTATGATATCCATATGTTCTTTCTGAAATCCAACAAGGAGACCAAATTTATGCTTCCTTCTTGTAGCTTTCAAGCATTGGCTAATTACCAAAAAAAAAAAAGTACCCTTAGGCGTTCCAATACTGCAGGGTTCTCTCCCAGGAACTTGATGAGCCATGTGAGGCCAGCAGTTGTAGTATCATGCCCTGCAACTAGAAGAGTTAATATGTTATCTTTCAACTGTGCATCACTCAGTTTATCTTCCGACCACTCTTTCCCTTTCTTCCTTATCAGTGATTCCAAGAAATCTTGGTGGATGCTCTCCCCACTCCTTCGCCCCGCTATTACTGAATCCAACATTGCATACATCCTATCGCGTGCCTGTACGTGTCATTAAAATTGTTAGGATCAAACGTTTACTACTATGTCAAAAGTTATAGTTAGTAGCGAAGGCAGTTCTAGGGAATTTCAAGCTTTTTTGGATCTATCTTAACCTTAATGCCGCGATAAAAGGCAGTTCCGGGGAGTTTAAATGGCAAGGATGCAAATGAGGATGATATTAGCTTGAAGTTTGCCCTGAACTTCTCTTGCTCCTGCCCACTTGGCTCCAAGCTCATTATCATGTTGCCTATAACTTTGAGTGTGAACTGCAAACATTATGTCACACAGGTTATGTTTTCTATAATGTTATAGTCAAGTCGTTACTACTATACCAAAAGCTATAACTAGTAACAAATTAAAGGGCGCAATATAGACCGTCATTGGGTGCTAAAGCGTAACTTTATTTCTTTATAGACCGTTACCGGGTATTAGACTTGGTCTTTATCGACCTCCGCCCAACAATTCCTCCCTCCAAGCACTAACCAATCTCACCAACTCGTGACCTGGCTCTCATACCACTTGCTAGGATCAATCGTTTACCACTACACCAAAAGTTATATCTAGCAGTGAATGCGCAACTTTATTTCCTCATAAACCGCCACACATTTTTGAGACACTGATTGTTGGACTTAACCTTTTATGCCCTTCATCGGCCTCTGCCCAACAATCCCCCAACCAGCCATTGAGTGATAGACTTGACCTTTACCAGCCTCCGTCCAACAATTCCTCCCTCCCAACACCAACTAGTCTCACCAAACAGTGACCTGATTCCCATACCACTTGTTAAGATCAATTACTTATCACTACAATTATAACTATCCGTGAATGCGCAACTTTATTTCCTTATAAACCGCTATACATTTTCGAGACATTGGCTGTTGGACTTGGCCCTTTATGCCCTTCACCGGCCTCTGTCCAACAATTCCTCAACCAGCCTCATCGAGTGCTAGACTTGGACTTTACCGGCTTGTGTCCAACATATAATGATTAGCTAGGTGTATATTATAAATTAAAGGAAACTCAACTGTGGAAGCCTCTTCAAGAACAAGGATTTCTCTTCCAGCCCAGTTATCTAGAGTGTGAATGGCCAAGCCATTGATGAACTGAAAGTACTTCTTTAAGCCATCAACTGAGAGTGGGTCAGCAATGAGCCTTCGCAGCCGCTTATGCGCTTCGCCAGTCTGTTGGAGAAGGCTTGTTGGTCCAAGAACTTGCTGCCCTGTGTAGAAAAGGTTCAAACTCACTATCCCATCTTTCCCTGTTAGAAGAATCTTGCTTGCTTCTCTCCCAGTCATGAACACTGTGAATCTCCCCAGAACATAACTCTTGAACACCTTCCCATACCTGAAACCAAATATTCATTTCATGCCAAGTATTATTGGGCCGGGTCAAATCTAAGAATGGGTGGCTAGGATTCTAGGATGTTGTTGTCAGAAGCGAGTGAAGGGTCAAGTTCAACACTCTGCGAGGAAATAAAGTTGCACATTCGCTATGAACTATAACTTTTGGAGTGATTGTAAGTGCATCCTAACAAATACTAATATAATTGTTGAGCGGAATCCGGTAAAGGCCAAGTCTAGCACCCGGTGGCTGGATTAGAATTGTTGGGTGGAGACCGGTAAAGGCCAAGTCCAGCACCCAACGTTTCGAAAATGTGTGACGGTATAAAAAAATAAAGTTGCGTCTTCGCTAGGAGGTGTTGTATCAGAGCCAGGTTACATGTTCGAATTTAAGGCTGGTTAGTGTTAGGGGGAGAATTCTTAAGAAGAAGCCAGTAAGGGGGCGTTTGGTTTAGGTTATATAAGATAACCAATGTTATATTTACTTGTAATATAAAATTCTCATGTTTGGTTCATGTTATATAACATTCCCGGGAATATCAGATAACCTCCGCATTAAGTTTTTAGCTATTGAAAGAGAATGTGAGATACCCTCCAATTTCTTAGGTAATCTCACATTCCCTTGTCTTATTACTAATGTTGGGCTTTGTATTTTTAGTCAATTTATCTTATTATCATTGCCTTATTTACACATCTTAGTTTTAAACAAAACACAGGAATCTAACATTTCTAGTAATCTAACATTTTCAGCAATTTAACATTCCCTAAGGTAATCTAACATTCCGTGAACCATACGCCCCCTAAAGGCTAAGTCTAACACCTGGTAACTGAAGAATTGCGTTATCCCTTTTAATGTAGTGGTAAGCGTTTGATCCTAACAATAATGTTACCAGCTAAGCTAGAGGTACTTACAGTTTTTGTCTTCGTTTGATGAAGCTATATACGCCGGCCGGACTTGAAAACGCTGATATGAAGGAGAAGCTTTCTCCGACGACTGGCCAGCCCAGGGTGCCCGGAAGCCCATCCATTGCCTCCGGGGAAAGCCATGACTGTAGAAACACGATGGCTGAGAGCACTAAAACCACTGCCACTATTATCATCACAACTAACGTCATTAGCTCCATTAGTTCTATCTGCAAAACATAATTTCTGATTAAGGTATTTATAAATGTAGAAAATCTTCTTTCAATAATTTTTGCATATTTTATCTTGACAACCTTTTTACAAGGCTTCTATATAGTTATCAATTTTGTCTTGTGAACCCTCTTACAAAGCTTCTATTGGCGTTTCTTATTATCCCCTACTATTAAACTTGTGCCTTGTTTTACTCTCATTTATTTTATTTTATTTTAGTGGCGTTTGATACTTTCCTATCAATTAATTTTTAGTAAAAATATTTTCGAAGAATGTATTTAAAGGGAATAATTTTACAGGAAAAATTAATTAACATGTTTGGTGTTAGCCTAGAAACATAAAAATTAAATTACCTAATAAAAAAATTAACATGACGCCAAAAATAAATACGTAATTGAATAAATTTAGTAGATTCTCAACCACTCAAAAGAAAAAGTCCGTAGGTGGAATTTACTTTCTTTCATGAAATTAGATTCCCATTGACCCGAACTTTCGTAAGTAAAATATTATGCCAAATGTGAGAATAATTTTCTCACCTTTTAAATTTCAAGAAAAGTTTGAATTTTCCTGATCCCTTTAATATTAGAAGTTGCATTTGTATTTCTAAAAGTTCAATTCTTCAAGCCTAATATTTTGATGGTCAATTGTTCATTTTTCAGAAATTATTTTTTTAGTTTTCAAATACACCCTAAGTTGCGTATACTTTTGTAAATGTTAACCTTATAGGCAAGAGTGAGATGCTACAGAAAAATTGATGGATGTAGAAGCAAAAGACTAAAAATGTATCATTAAAAAAAAAAAGTAAAAAAAAAAGTGTAACGTTGTGACACAATTGACAATTATATTTACAAAATTGTTGTGTGCTGCACAATTTTAGAACTAAAATTACAAACTTTTTTGGGCTGTCAATGAAATTTGACTCAATGTCACTAAATTAATTTCTGCATAAATAAAAATTAGATTCAAGAATTTATATCAAAGACATGTCTGGTTTATATATATATATATATATATATATATATATATATATATATATATATATATATATATATATATATATATATATATATATATATATATAAATAAAGTAAAATTAATTAAGGGTGTGTTTGGTTCGCATAAGGGAATCAAAATTGGAATGAGAATCAAATATTTGTAAGATTAATGGGCAAATTATATCGTGGACCATGGTCCATAGTGCACTATGGACCCTGGCCCAATACACAGAATTTGACTTCATAAAATACAAAATTCATGTTCATAATGCACCATATTCATGTTCATAATACACACACATAACATTATATAATGAACATGAACTCTGTGCATTATGAACATGAATTCTGTGTATTATGAATATGAATTTTGTGTATTATGTTAAGTGTTTATGTGTCCTCAGCTATATAATACACAGAATTCATGTTCATTATATCGTGTTTATGTATATGTGTATTATGAACATGAATTATGTGTTTTGGACCAGAGTCCACAGTGCATTGTGGACCCTGGTCCACGATATAATGATTGATGTTAATGTGCTTCGGTGAAAGTATTTTGCATGTTTGGTAGCCGGGTGAAATTGGAATGATTATCAAATGTTTTGTTATGTATGACTATATAATGGGAATAAAAGTTTTAAAAATAAAAAATTAAAAAGTTAAGATAATTGATCCTAATATAATGACATCCAAAGCACCAATATGAACAAAAACAAAAATCTAAAAGCACTAATACAAACTTAAAATTCATATTACGAATAAGATGGAATGATACCTTTTTTTACTTAAGGAATATACTTAGATTTTTAATTGAAGGGTTAATCAAATCTCATAGTTGTGTTTTAAAAACTTGTCAACCAAAAACTCTTTATGATTTTGATTTCTATTCTTTGTGTATAAACCATGAACCAAACACACCCTACAAGTATTGTTATTATCATCGTATGGATTTAAAAAAATAAAGTTGGAAATATTCCATTTCTAAGAAATTAGCATCTTCTTCTTCTTGATGTTTTCAGATTGCGTCAAAACTTATGTGCCGACCGTTTCCCGATGTGTGTTTTTATCCATATAACTAAACCACTCACTTTCATATACTATGTTTTGTTTAATTGTTTTGAAGAGAATGTTGCGATCTCTTCAATGTTCCATTTGTCAACTTCGTTATTTTAAAGGCTTTTTTATTTTATTTATTTATTTTTAACATTTTTTTGGTTAAAATAAACGAAAGAAATGAATGTACAAGACAAAAAGCCTTAGGGCAACTCCATTATGTTTGCATTTTGTAGGGTTTTTTCAAGAGCAAAAAATTATGGAGTAGTTTTTAAATAAATGGGAAGTTGGGTTTTTTTTTGGGGTTTTTTTTTTAATACAAATTTAAGTTTTTTATGAACCTCTTTGGTTGGGAGAATTTTAGAAAAAAATGCACAAAATGCGCGTGAAAGGCACTGCACCACGCCCAGCATGGTACGCGCCAATCGTTATGCCATGGAACCGTGTTCACCATTCATGGTGAACACGGTCCAAACGGTAACGGTGCCATCGTTATCTTTTTATTTTTTTTTATTTTTTTTATTTTCTTAATTAACAGCGCGACTTTTCTTCTTCATTTTCACATTTCGCGGTTTCACTTCCTCTTAGCGCAAGCTTCTTCAACACTTATAAATTATGAATGTGCAGGCATGGGTTTATGAATATGCAGTTATTAAATTATGAATTTTCTTTTATGAGATTATGAATTTCCTGTTATGAGATTATGAATTTTCTATTATGAGATTATGAATTTTCTGTTATGGGATTATGAATTTACAGAAAATTCATAATTACATAACTGTAAATTTATAATTGTATAACATAAGGAGTCAAGATGGTCGAGTTGGTCTAAGGTGTCAGTTTCAGGTACTGGTTCGAAAGGGCATGGGTTCAAATCCCATTCTTGACAATGCTTTAAAAAACAAAACAAAATAATTGCATAACATCATAATCTGAACATAGAATGCAAAATGTTAACAGCACATTAACTAAATTTTTTCCGTAAAAACGCCGTTGTTCCAAACCGTGTTCACTAAGCATGGTGAGCATGTTTCCACGGCATAATTTGCGGGTACGTGCATTGCACGCACCAGCTCGGCACGTGAAAATCAATTTTATGTTTTTCCTTTTTTTTTTTTTTTTTTGCCTTCCATTTTTTCTTTCCTTGTCATCCCTACAAAAACTCAAAAAAAAAAAAAAAAAAAAAATGAAGAAGAAGAAGAAGAAGATACAACTGATGATGTTGCTCTTACTTCCATCTCAAAATTCCCTTGTCTACTTTATTGCTTTTGTTATGCAATTTTAGAGTTGATTTACAATGTGTTACATAAATTTTCAAAAGAAAAATTTGAATTTGGTCATTTAGAATTTATAATAACAATAATAATAATAATAATAATAATAATAATAATAATAATAAGTATGAGAATTTTAGACTTTATACTACTTATTCCCTTTCAATTCCCATGTACACCAAACATTGAAATTTAAATTCCCAGTAATTCTATTCCTACAAACCAAACACTGAAATTTAAATTACCACCTTATTTTCACATTATTCATCTCTCATGAAATTGTAATTCCTTTCCCACGTAATTTCCCCGCTCCAACCAACGCCACATTATGTGTGTGTGTGCGTACGCGCGCGCGCACACACACACACACACATACATACATACATATATATATATATATATATATATATATATATATATAATTTAAAAATTAATTATAATTAAAAAAAATTCAACAACCTACCCTTGTTTAATTATAGTTATACTATTATTATGATAAGAACTAATTTCACTTTTGGTCCCACGACTTTAGAGGTTCTATCATTTTTTGTGCACAACTTTAAATTTTTTCAATTTTGGTGTCTAACTTTGTTATTTTTATCAATTTTGGTCCTTTCGACCAAATTGACTGCGAAATATTGCCGGATTTTACATTTTAGGGGCAAAATCGTCATCCCAAGGAAAGATATTCAATATCTAAACAAAAGAAAAATCATGTTAAGAGAAATATAAGAGTTTTGCAATCGTCGATGCTATAAATCTCATAGATCTGTGTCTAGTTTCTGTCCGTCTTCCTAATTATTCTCATCGATCAAACACCTATAGATATGATTTTAGAGTGATTTTGTTTAGATATTGAAGTTATTTCCTTGGGATGACGATTTTATCCCTAAAAATATAAAATCCGGCAATATTTCGTCGTCAATTTGGTTGAAAGGACCAAAATTGATAAAAACAACAAAGTTAGGCACCAAAATTGAAAACTTTTAAAGTTGTGCACCAAAAGTGATAGATTCTCTAAAGTCGTGGGACCAAAAGTGAAATTAATTCTTATGATAATTATTAGCTTAATAACCATAATAATTATTATGTAATTATACTAATATTGTGCAATTACACTTTTATACCTTAAGTATAAAAATATGTATAGAGATTATCATAAAATTACCATGTTATTATACAGAAGAATAGGATTGATAATTTATTTTGTTCTCATAGCACTACAGGAAAAATAATTTTTAGTGACAAAAAATTAGCGACGGGTAGAAAAACCTCTCACTAAATGTATTATTTGCATAGTTTTTGTGAGGGTTAAAAATTACTATAGCTAAAGGTTTATGATTTAGTGACAAAATTTTAATTTTATACTTATTTTAAAAGTATACTCTCGCTATTGGTACGAAAGATGTTGTTACTCTCGCTATTGATGTCTTGGACATTTTTGCTTAGGGGCTGTTTTTGTCTAAACTAAAAATGTTTATCTGTACAGTCTCACCTTTCAAAATAGCCAACAGATACATTAGTATGGCTATTTGTTAGCTATAATTAGTTTCTTTGCCTTTAGTCTTTACAAAGTTGTGTGAAACATTTCATTTTGATTGTGATGATGAAGTCTTTTAATATATTGATGAGTTTACTTTGATTGCATTATTGTTAAAATTATAAATTGTACTAATATAATATCTATCGTTACAGCATAATGTCGATGATAAAAAAAAATGTATTACAAAAATTAATATTTAACGAGCAACAACAATATACACAAATTAAAATTAGAAAAAAATAATATTTGATAATAAAATATAACATTTAGTGATAGGAAAAATCTAATATAATGAGAGAAAATTTTGTTAGTAAATAGCAATATTAATGACAGGATTCTATATCATTAAAAGGATAGATGAGAGAAAATTATGTTAGTGAATAATAATTGTATTAATGACGGGATTCTTTGTCACAAAAAGAACATTTTAGTGACGGTAAATATACCATCACTATATGCTCACTAATGACGGTACCATATCCCATCATTAATTGTTTTTAACCTCGGAAGATATAACGACGGGTCGTGACGATAAATTTTCCGTCATTAACAGTCTTTTATGATAATTTTAGAGTTTTTAGTGATGATTTTACCTCTCACTAATGACCGATTTTCTTGTATTGAAGTATTACACCTTAAGTATAAATAAATAAATAAATAAATAAATAAATAAATAAATAAATATATATATATATATATATATATATATATATATATATATATATATATATATATATATTATCAAAAAAATTGTAATTATAAAAAAATCTAATGACCCATGTTTAATTGTAATTATACTAATATTTGTGTAATTATTAGTTTAATTACCAAATTAATTATTAGCCAATTATATTAATATTTATGTAATTAATTCCTAAATTACCATAATAATAATTAGCTAGGTAAATATACTAATATTGTGCAATTATTTTTTATACCTTAATATATATATATATATATATATATATATATATATATATATATATATATATATATATATATAAACAATCCTTAAAATACAAATGTGTGGATTCATTAGGATCGTTGGATTTTGGGATTGGATGTCAAGGATTTATTTAATTATTTATGGTGTTTTTTAATGATATGATCAACTGCTCTATTTTAGTGGGGGTATTTTCGGATTTTCTTTTTGTTAAATATGTTCTATTCCTACAGAAATTCAATCACCATTATCGTATGCGACTCCCGGACTCTATCTCTCTCGTTTCCGCGCGTTGCCAAGGTTCTCCTTCTCCGTCGATTTGCATTCTTCATCAGCCGCCACACGATGGTCGCCGGTGGGGATTGCGGTGGAGCCAAGCGACGGGGACCACCATCTCAGGGTTTATGTCGAGGTTTTTTTTGCCCCCTTTTTTCCTTTGCGATTTTTTTGCTCGTTTTTAGCCTCGGAGCAATTCCGGAGGTGGCGGTGGAGATTTCCCCTCGGCAACAACGATTCTGGTATGCGGCGGAGGTCTGGGCGGCGGCAAATTGGTGGTGGTTGTTACTTTTATTGTCGGCAGCAGTTAGTTTGTATTGGTTAGCAGCAGAGTTTATTTCACCTTTTGCAATTTCCTAAGCAACAAGTTCATACGCAATTCTAAATTATTCTCCTTGATATTGTTTATTGTTAATCTATTGCTTCATTAGTTTGCGCAAGGGTGTGAGAGCTTTGTTAATTTCAATTTCATCTAACATTTCATTAATGCCTTGCTTATTTATTTGTCTGAGAACGTGAATGACTTTTCCATGAAACCTTTGCAGTATATCGAGGATTAATAATATTGCCATTTAATTAAGTTTTATCATATGATTGAACACTTGAAGTTTTTCTCCATTGTTTCTCAGTTGTTCTTTTTATCATTTAGTTTGATTTTAATTATTTGCACTTGAATTGATTCTTTATTATTGGTATTTGTTCCTAGTTTAGTTGTATTCCTATTTTACCTATTAAATTCGGGTATAACTATATAGAAGTGAAAGGGAATTGATAAATTGAGATGAAGGATTTGTTTGTGGGAATGTAAATAATGGGGGGGGGGGGGGGGGGGGGGGGGCAATTGCCAGGCATTACTGTGTTGTTGGATGTGTCTTAGGTTGCTTTCGGATTTTGCTCTGTGGCTAATTGGTTTGTTATTTTACTCAGGTGTGTGCACTGTCGGTTGCGTGAGTGTGCATATTCCTTAATTTTGTGTGTATATTAACTTTTTTTTTTGTTTGTTGCAGTTGCGTGTAAATGTGTGCGAGGTTAACAAATATATAAATGAGAAAAACGATACTAATTCAATGTTATCTTAAACGCGTAGTTTTAAATACATGAATGCACATTTCCGTTAATTATGTGTGTGCTCTACTTCATACATTTTTACCATGGGTTAAAAATAAATAATTTCACACAAGTGAATGGTTCACTGTTAGCGTATAGGCTTAGTAATTACAAACGTGTGTGCGCAATGGTGTTAAACAGTATGCAAAGCTTTGCTGAATAAATACCAACCATGGGTAAAGCTAAAAACATACTAGTTCCATATAATCGTATATGCTCAGTTTGTAAATACGTGGGTGTTTTTTCTCATTAAATACTGTGCGTGCACACTTAAACACATCTCAACCATCAGTAAAAACTAAATCAATTTCACAGCAGTGAATAGTTCATTATTAACTTTTAGGCTTTGTAATAAAAATCGTGTGTGCACAATCGTGTTGAACAGTGTGCATAGTTTATTCGAACTAAGTACCAACCATTGGTAAAATTCAAACGTTTGATAAGTATTTAATTCAACTTCAAATGAAGTTAGTATTCGTATTGTTATAAACCATGGGGGTCTATTCCTCTGATAGGTCTTTTCTGTCGGACTATTGAACTATATATTAGCTTTTAGGCTTAGTTAATAAACATGTGTGTGCACAAATGCGTGTAACTGTGTGCAAGGTTAAAAATATATAAATGAGAAAAGTGAGATTAATTCAATGTTATCTTAAACGCGTAATTTTAAATACATGGGTGCACGGGGACACGGATTTGTGTGCACGCACAATGGAGTTAAAATGCATGCATCATCAACTAATTAAATTTCACCAAACATGGTTACTATCTCAATGAATTTTATGTATCTGACTATTGAACTATATATTAGCTTTTAGGCTTAGTTAATAAACACGTGTGTGCACAAATGCGTTTAAATGTGTGCAATGTTGGCAAATATAATAATTACAAACGTGTGTGCGCAATGGTGTTAAACAGTGTGCAAAGCTCTGCTGAATTAATTCCAACCATTGGTAAAGCTAAAAGCAGACTAGTTCCATATAATTAAGCAATTGCCTTCTCTCATGAAAGGGGGTACGTTGGCAGTACGTGTTGTAATCAAATCCTTGCAGTATTAAAATTCTTAAATTATAGCATATTATTCAAATAGAATTCATTCCTTATTTATGTTGGGAGTGCATTCACTTTATTGCCCTTGGCTTCACAAATTAACAATCCGTGTGTCCATCTTAAGATTCAATCTAATCCATCCATCTTATCACATCCTATGGCTAGATTTTATCCACACGTTTGTATTATAAGGGGGTTTGCATGTGAATGCAACCCTATATATATATATATATATATATATATATATATATATATATATATATATATATATATATATATATATATATATATATATATATATATATATATATATAGATATTGGATCCAATGAGACCCATATTTTGGTGAGACGGTAAGATGTAATCTGGTTCGTTTATTTTTATTTTTTAACGGTTGTGATCTTTTGATTTTGGATCCCAAGTGCTGATGTTTAGTAAAGGAGGTAGGGTCATTGTGGTCTTTTGCTTATGTTATTATTTCAGATTCCATAATTAAAGGGCACGTGTGTGGTGTTATTTTTGGGAGGATATCAATTACAAGTTTTGGAATTGTAATTGGACGCTTCACATTACATTGTCGATTCACTTCCTCTGCTGTTAGTCTTCTCCACCCGCGACGCCAGGGATGTCCGATTCTGACGCTAGCGGTCGTCCTTTGGTGTTGTTTGAGCGTCATCATCTCCTTTCCCGGTCTGTCCTAGTCGCACAAGTGATTGGTGTTCATGGCAGGTTCTTCTAGCAGGAATGTTAAGCGTCGGAGGGGTAGTTCTTCCGTGTCTACTCAAGGTATTTTGACTTTCTTGTCTGTTTTGTGTGGGTTTATGGTTTTCCAGTCGGGGTTTTGTCCGGGTGGGGTTTTCCGATTGGGGTTTTGGTCCGGATGGGGTGGGGGCATGCAGGGGTTGGATTGGGGTTGTTGTGGTGCGGAGTGGCGGTGTTCACATAAAAGGTTTTTTTTTTTTTTTTTTTTTTTTTGTTTTTGTTCGGCCGGTAGGTATTTCCCGGCGTTGGGGGTTTTTGGGTGGGGTGGGGTGTCGACGGTCGTGGGGTAATGGTGTGGTGTGGCGGTGTCTGGACGGTGTTATGGTATATGACATTTAAAATAGAAAGGGTGTCAATCTTTTAGGGTGAAAAGAAGTTGTGTTTCATATCTCTTTTGTTTAATTTTTTATTTGTGGGATGCTTTTAATTTCTCTTCTGTAAGGCAATATAGAAGGGGGCAAGTAGAAGCTAGGTATGTTTGTTGCTTTTTAATAATGAGTTAGAAAAAGTTTAGGGAGTTGTCTCACATGGGTGGTCTTGAGACAAGTTTGTGATGTTTGATGCAAAAACAAAAAGAAAAGAATGGTGTGTGCATTCTTAGAGTGACGTTTGTGCGTAATTCTGTATTTGCTATATTTGCTGTAATTGGCTTTTGTTTTTGTTTTGAATTTGCATTCGAGTGTATCATCTGTCCTTTGCAACTGAGCATTTTCTGGGCATATTTGTGAAGCATATGACAGTAGTAAGTAGTGTGCGTTATTCGTATGAGGTTTGTGCGTAATAAAGTGATTACTAATTCGTTGATGCGTTATACGTTCTAGGCTTGTGCGTAATCTTTATATTTGGAGTGTGTGCGTTTTGTTGGACATATTTGATGGGGTTCATTAATGTTTGTTTTGTTTTAAGTATCCGAAATATATTTTGTTTTGTTTTTTTTTTTTTTTTTGTTTTTTGTTTTTTTT